TACTGTATCTTGTACTCGTTCTGTCGTCTCATATGTGGTGCAGAGAGACAACTCGATCATTTACGTCTCTTCCACATCTCTCATCTATGTTAGCAAAATAACTACTACCTCCATATTTTAATATATGACGCCGTTGACTTTTTATCCAACGTTTGACCATTTATCTTATTTAGAAAATTTATGCAATTGTCATTTATTTTATTGTGACTAGATTCATTATCAAATGTTCTTTAAGCATAATATAAATATTTTCATATTTACATGAAATTTTTGAATAAAACGAATGGTCAAACGTTAGTTGAAAAGTCAACGGTGTCATATATTAAAATACGGAGGGAGTATATTATATTGCTAATATATGACTATATGGTACGTCTTATCAATTTGGTGTTGTACATATAGACTATATTGGTCAATTAAGATTGGAGTACAAAAGCGATGGGGATTGAATATTACAGTAACTAAACAGATTAACTAGCTACCCTTAGTGTGGAGCTAATTAATTGTTCGATTGATGTCATCGCTGATGATCAACTTCTGTGCCCATGCTTTGACTAACAATTAACTTATGTGGCTTAAAAAACTGCTCGATAGTATACTGTATATCTGATACAAAATTAAGGTTGATTTATATGTATGCACTAGGATTGATTGAGAAGAAAATCAATTATCCTGTGGAGCTCTACTTTGTGTTATACAATCTATCACTACCAGAAACAGTATTATATATATGTTCTATATATTTCTGTGTACTTAATCTTGTATCAATTCATGCCCTAGCTTGTAAGAGATCAACTTTGGTTTGCATTAATTTTGACGTTTATCGTACCCATGCATACATGCATGCATGGAGCCAAGTCATGTCTCTCTTTTCATCACACGAAGCTAGCTAGAGTGCCAGATGCAAGGGATCGATGTGCTTAGTAGCTTAGCATGCATGAAATGAGGAAAAAAATAAAGAGCACGATTCACATGTTTCTTGAGCTTTGGCACAATATTCAAACTGAAATGATTTGGACAATTGGATCTGATCCACGTGCCTCTGCTTGATGTACTAAAGTTGCCTAATCTTCCACTTTCGCCCATAGAGAGAGTAGTGCGTTTAGAATTTATAGGTGCCTGAATTTTCAGTTATTGGAATACTTAATTGTGTAAAAATATTACTTCGAGTAAATAAATAGTTTTCATATATTATGGCAGCTCATCAGACTCATGCAATTACGACCCTACATTCACATATATAATATTTTTAAGGGACTACCTATGGAACATTTAATAGAAAACCTCCCGACGATCTCAATCGCTTTTTGAATGGCTAGAATTGCATTGAGATTCATGCTAAGAAATAACCTTATCCCTCTCTTTGTTTTTCTTCTCCTCATGCGACCTGCTTTGGTAGAACAAGCTCACTATCACCACCCTCCAATCCCCATTGCCTTTCCGATGCCATTAATGGCACTAACGAGGCCCGTAACCACTTGGCCAGCCTCCTCCCCTTCTCCTCGATCCCTTATCCCCCTTCTTGTTCTTCCCAAGTTAGGCGCCCTACCCCATCATCTTCCGCGGTCCGTCTCTAACGGCTCCCCTACCAAAAGACGCCACTGCTGCCAACTCCATGGTCTCCCTCTCCCCTACTGCTACTGTGGCCGGCCCCGCAGCTCCGATGGGGCCTCCGCTGCTTTATCACTCGTCCATTACCACCGTATTCAACTGATTTGACTGCCACCGATAATTACCCCTCTAATTAAGCTTGAAGAAACAATCTCTCTTCTGTCTCTCCTATCCTCTTCTATGTTGACCCAACCTCAAATCGTAACTTATCAGTGCCGTCGTCGTCTGGCCGGAGTTAGAGGAGGTGACGACTGACATACATCTTCGTATATATTTATATATCCAGCTCTCCAAAATTAGATAGATATACCACGAATGAAGGTTAGCACCCAACTCCTAATTCTTAATTAGAATGTTAGCCGCCATCATGCCACACTTTTAGGCAGCATGCATGCATATATGGGTAAGGAAGGCTACAGCTTAGCCTGCACCATCACATGTGCATGGTTTGAAGACGACACTTGATCATTAATTATTGCCAGCACGTACACTGTTCCATCTCCTCGTCCCAGCCCATATTTTGTCATTATTTCACATGCATGCATCCGGACATGTTTCCAAGTCAAGGTTCAGAAATCTCGACTGATCGATCAGCACAATTTGATTCAGGTAACTATTTCATCAACGCATGCAATACATATTCTGGGCATGACTCTGAAAGCTTAGCTAGCTATATATCCATCATAGCAGACGTACACGATGATGTGATCAAATTAACAGTAACATCGTCCCTACACACACGTTGTTAGGTACATGGACATAAGTAATAACGTGTTATGTGTACTAGTAGGCATGACTGAAAATCCAAAGTACTATTACCTCCGTCCATCCCAGAAAGATCGTAGTTTTACACTGTTTATATCCAATGTTAAGTTTGACCTTTTATTTTATTTAATTTTTTTTATGATTAGTATTTTTATTGTTATTAGATGATAAAACATGAATAGTTATGTGTGACTAATTTTTTTTTAATGTTTTCATATTTTTTTAAATTAGACTAATGTTTAAACGTTAGATACGAAAATCTATAACTGCACTTAAAATGCGATGGAGGTAGTAGTAGTATTCTGTGCACTGTTTGGTCGTTGAAATGTAGCTGCACAAGTTACAAGTACAGGTAGACGAAGAGCTAGCTAATTAAGCACGAGACGCGGAGTGTCGTTTGCTGAGCGAAGCTAGCGTACGGCCGGGACAACTTGGACTGCACACATGCATACGAGTTCTTTGCTGTGGTTTTTTCTTATTATATACTCTCGACCCTCCGTTTCTAAATATTTGACGCCGTTGACTTTTTTAAACATGTTTGATCATTCATCTTATTGAAAAAAATTAAGTGATTATTAATTATTTTCTTATCATTTGATTCATTGTTAAATATACTTTCATGTATATATATAGTTTTACATATTTCACAACTTTTTTAATAAGACGAATGGTCAAATATGTACGTAAAAAGTCAACGGTGTCAAACATTTAGAAACGGAGGGAATATATATTTCTAGGTAGGCAAAGAGTGAACGTACTTATACTTTAGTAGTAGTAATCAGCAGTGATTGACCAAGTTATTAGTTATATATATGCATGCAAACTTTTACTCATCCTTTCCTAAAATTAATATATCAACATAGCTAGTATTGGATGAGACAATCCAGTACTACGAACGAAGTTGTACTAAGTAGTAATATGTTGTCCATATTCGTAGTAATACTAGCTAGATTGTGTCTCATAAAGTACCAGCTTAGTGCTATACTTTAAGATGGAATTAATTTGGCCGGTTGTTGGTAGTACTTCCAGTTGATGCAGTCCCATTTTCTTTTCGAGCTTTGCACTCAATGTAACTCGATCGTCAGAACTTTTTGTTTTTGTGACATTAGTTTGTTCATCCAATTGAATCAAAACTTGATTTCTTTTTATATTTAGGAGTAGTTAGATGGACAAGTATAATTTATCTTTGCTACCACATCATATATGTATATGATAGAATTCAACCTATATCATCCATGCATATATGTTTATAAACTCTAGACACAGCAGTGACAGTACAATCTATCAAATTTTATTTTGTCGGGGGTACTGTTCAACGACATGTGAGAACACAGAGATGCTTCAGATAAACGAAGATCTGTATTGAAGTTTCTAAGAAATTCAAATGTGTGCCTTGCCAGTCAACCTTAAATATTTTGCTTTGACCTGGTTGAAAACTTGAAATTTCATTAACCTGAGCTTCTTACCCAAGTATATATACCTAACTTGTTGCCAGTTAGATTATGTTCGTGGTAGCTGTTTATTTTATAAGTAAGGCGCTTATTAAAAATTTGATGCTTCTAAAGGTTAGGACATAATATAACTTTCGTTCACGAAATGGTCGCATGTTCTAGCTTACTGACAAAGCTAGTTAAGATATTCTCTTATCCGTAGCAAATTTCATCATGGTAACCATAGAAAATTGATCACATGCACATGTAAATATGTACTATAATAGCAGGTACAATAGCAGGCTATAAGCCCGCTATAAACATAATTTAAAGAGATAAATGAAGAGTGAGAAGAGCAGCAGGCTACAGATCTGTAGCCAGCTGCAGCACGGATTATAAGACGATATGACAGGTGAGACCAGGTATTATTTGTATAGTAAGCAACTATTATATGAACTGGTTATTACATTGACTAATAGATGATTTAGAGCTAATAGTGGGCTATACTATTAAACTTGCTCTAACCTTCTCGAACTTAATTTAATTGATGGGGCCTTTGAATGTGTCGCATTTATTCCCCACATGCATGCATTGGTTCTAATAAACTTTATTCTCTGCCGGCATCTTTTACAAAAGGAAATTCCATACTAAACACTCTTATTACTACTCCATCTAGCTAGCTAGTGTTGCACATACATATATATGTGTATCCATATAATTAAATTCAACGGACACATGACCATGACCCTGATGACCAAGAAATAACTTGTTTTGATAACCGCTTTAATTAAATGCAGGGTAAAAATATGCACGGATCAACAATAATTATGTTCTTGCATGTAAAATAGGTAACTAATTAAATCATCTCCAAATTGAACCAATCCCAGAAAATTAATCGGTCAATGGGCATGCATACACTCGTGTGTCGACATGTTTCTAACTAGGGTATCCAAATCGTAGCAAGCATGCACGGACAAGCAAAGCTATTGGAGAGGAGCAAAATGCTACTTAAACATGTGACAGCCACTTATTACTGTTCCTTGTCAAAATCCAGCACAAATTTCCGTGCCGTTTACGACAACCACACACAGTAAACACACACATAGAGAGAGAACCTAGCTAGCTAGCTCTCTCAAACCATCTCTCTCTTTCTTTCTGTGACGACACGTATGATTTGTGTGGTAGTACATAGCACGCACGCACAGGAAGCCGCCCTTCAATCAATTTCGATAGTCAAAGTGAAAAAAAAAGAAGAAAAGAAGAGGACAGAAAAGTATTAAGTAGAGGGTTTATTTAGCTTGCTTACTAATCCCTATATAACCCTGGTTGTAACTTGTGAAACTCTTTCAGTCTCTTCGAATTCTCAATCTCTCTCATCAGCTCGATCTATCCAACTGAGCTATTCTCGCTTATCGAGCTCGATCGATCGCTTGGTCGAGATGGAGAACTTCCCGATACTCTTTGCGACGCAGCCGACGTCGTCTTCTACCTCCAGCTCCTACCACTTCATGAGCTCCTCTTCCGGCAGCCATGACCACCGCCACCACCATGGACTACAGGCAGGCGGCAACGGCGGTGGCGGTGGTGGAAGCTTGAGCCATGGCTTGTTCATGGGGTCGTCGTCGTCGTCAATTAGGATGGAGGAGCTCTCCAACTCCAAGCAGGCCGGCGACGTCGTCGTCGACGGTGGTGCAACGAGGAGCCCACACGGCGGCGACGGAGACGGAGCTGCGGGCGACGACGGCGGCGATGCGCAGGCAGCCGCCGCCGGAGGGAGGAAGAAGGGGGAGAAGAAGGAGCGGCGGCCGCGGTTCGCGTTCCAGACGCGCAGCCAGGTCGACATCCTCGACGACGGCTACCGGTGGAGGAAGTACGGCCAGAAGGCCGTCAAGAACAACAAATTCCCAAGGTTTGTCATTCATGTCATGTACATCCATCCATGGATTAATTCTCCAAATAATGATCATTTTAGTCAATTACACCTCTCTTCTTCTTTCTTATCTTTCTTATCTTTTATCTCTTCTCTGATTGCATAATCAATTGGATAGAGATCACAATTGATTGATCTTGAATTAACTATTAGGCAAGCTAATTAATTATAAGCTAGATTTCTTTTTCTTGATCGGTCTTTGATGTTTGATTTTGGGATGTTTGCTGGGTATTATGATCTTTTTCGAGGATTGCTTTTTTTTATTGGTTTGGAGTGTATGTAATCCGATCCGATGCTTTTTTCACTAGGGGTTAAGAGAAAGTAGGTGAGATGGAGTCCCAATGAATCTTCCAAGCTCTGCTAGTGGTTTGCTTACATGTGATAATGACATATCTCATCCTCATCATCTAGATGAAAAAGACTAATAGTTTCACATGATTTTGGTGGGCATCGATCCATTCAATAAATAGAGAACCGATGGCGATCGACTTTGACCAGCAATAACTTGGATGACCATCCACCGTTGTTTCTATTATCTATTAAATCCGTATGTGTATTATCCTAATTCAGTCACCATCTTTATATGCTCCCTAGAGAACAAAGTTAAACGTGTAAAGCTCACTGTGAGCTTCCAAGCTCGAAACGATGGGTAGGTCGTACGTAGTTTGCTCTGGTTTATGACCATAATTAGTTAGTTAATGGTCCTAGCATAAAATGTTACTACAATGGTCTTACTAACACCTGAAAGAGTATTAAATATTTCCTATATGATTTATAAATTACACAATTAATGAAATAGAATCTGCAAGGTTTATATATCCAAGAAAATTGCTTAATGTTTCTGCTCTTTAATTGACACGGATATGGCACTGGTCATCGGTCATTTCTTGTGATTAAAATTGGTTGCCTAAATATATTAGAGAAATCTTTATCATTCCAAGAAATTTGCCTTATCCTTTTTGTTGTAACACGAAAGGTTTTAATTCTGTGACACCCTTCTACCTTTTCTTCTCTTTTCTGAAAAATCTTGGAAACTCTGTCAAGTTGCACCAAAAACAGCAAAGACGTGCACAAATATACTCTTCCACATATAAACAGCAGTGCTCCGCACTTTGACATCATTCTTTTCAGCAGCTATATTTGGTACCAATTTGTACTGGACACTTCCCATTAGTTGTATTCATTTTTTCGTATCTTGGGGAATGTCCAACAACTTTTTTTTTTAACTTTTGACTGGCGGTGTATTTGTGCAAAAACTGTAGATATATCATTTGTTAAATCTAAAAAATAATTGTGCTTCCTACAAAATGATTGTCCAACGGGAAAAAAAAGGTTCATTTTAAAATGTTTTGCCTCTTATTTAAAATACTTAAATATTTTGAATAATTTAACAGGCAAACAGGTAATAAACCTGTTTGAACACCTATCAACTATACACTAGTTATAAAATTTAGCTATCAATCTTGTGGGCCTAACGTAAATTAAATTATAATTCGATATTTATCTGGATCATGTTCAAGCTCAAAAGATTATTGAATACTAAATCATAAAAGCAATTATAATTTATTTAAATTAGAGAGTTATGAAAGGTTAGGTCCATGCACAGTTGCAAGACCAATTATCTGTCCCGATCCCTAAAATAATATCCCGTTTATTTCATAATCAACCATTTTGTCCTCACCATAATAGATTTGGTTATTAAACAATCACTGTAGTCTTGTAATTAGGAAAATTGCAGGTGTAAATTGTGGAAAAAAAAGGCAATTGAATTGACTAGTTATCTAAAAAGGTTCTATCTAGCTGGCCTCCATCTCTCTTTAGGAAAGAAGTGCACTATATATACAAACAAATCAAGAAGTCAATTAAACAAGATTCAATCGATGAAGATTTGGAGAATTATATATATATGGTTTGTAAACTTAGCTCATCATTTTTTTTGAGAAACAAATCCTTCAAACTACAGCTGGAAATTAAATCCATGTGTAGACGCAATGCACAATAGTTAGTACATAGACGACCACCGGTTAATAGCTTGCAACATCTTATTAAATATGTATGTAAGATGAATATAACACCAACTGTGTGGTGTGAAGTCGTGGCATGTATGAATTCATACACCAGGGTTCAATTATGATACCTACTAATTTTACACACGTGCATGCATATGCGATTTTAGTAGAACTTTAGTGGGACCAGGGATTTGCCACCGATCTCTATGTCTTTGAGCGTGTGCTAGAGGGCGCACTACCTAGGAATGTGGTATGCATCTTCCGCGTAGTAATGAAAAAAAATATTTGCTGTCTAATTTCTTTCTCGATGAATTTGTATTTCATCGGTGCACGAATCTAAAATTAATGAATGAATGAATGGATGCAGGAGCTACTACCGGTGCACGCACCAAGGGTGCAACGTGAAGAAGCAGGTGCAGCGGCTGTCGCGGGACGAGACGGTGGTGGTGACGACGTACGAGGGCACGCACACGCACCCCATCGAGAAATCCAACGACAACTTCGAGCACATCCTCACCCAAATGCACATCTACTCCGGCCTCACGCCTTCATCGGCTGCGCATGCCTCATCCTCCTCACCTCTCTTCCCTTCAGCTGCTGCTGCTGCTTCCCACATGTTCCAGTAGCTTTAGCAAATTTGATCATACACAACAAATTAGTTACACGTACATATATGATCAATGCCAATGCCACACTGTACATATGCAGTGCATGCATGGATCGATGGATGTTAGCAGGAAAAATTAAGAGGCTATGTTAATTTGTACATTAAACTTAGATGAGGTGCAGTGTAAGAGAAAACTAGCTAGTGAATTAATAAGCATATGCATGATCGATCGAGATTCAGTGGCAAGCAAGATTCGGTCACGCATGCAGTTCTTTTTAATTGTTTTACTTTTTTTTGTCAACTGTAGGCCAGATGTACTAGTGATTGCACAACTTTTACAAAGAAATTTATTCACAAGATCTTGCACATTTTGGTTCTACACATTACTCTCAATTAAGTCTCAATTTGTGAGGTCTTTGCTATAAGATTCTGTAAAATTGCGGCTATATATATGTATTGCGCTGGTCGAACTGGGGTCTGCAGGCCGTGAGCTAGACTACGTATATGATCTCTCTCTGTTTTTTTTTTTTTGAAAGATACCCTCTCCTATTTCTATTATCAAAATAGCAAATTTCATAGTTGTACATATGTGAGATCTGGAGACATTGGTTTCTTTTGTTTTACTTCCTTTATTCTTTTTTCTCGATTATGGGCCGAGATCGATATATTAATATTTCAAAGAAATTTATGCAAAATCATGTCTATATTTCTGCTGGAAGGTTATGAAACTTTGTATACGCTCTTTTTTTTTTTGGAGCTAGAGATCGATGAAAACCATCTCATGCTGTTTCTGTGATCAGAATAGCAGATTTCATAGCTGCCACATGCATGTGAGGTCTAGAGACACTGGTTTCACTAAAAAAAAACCTCGTGTTAAATTAACTTGCACTGGGATCTTCCAACACAAGAAAAAAACATGCAAGCAACCTAAGTTTCCTGGGATTATGCAACACCCAGATATATCTTATCAACATATTCAGTAAATAACTAAACAGGCTTCAAATGAAAAGAGATTATGTGTATCTATAGCATCGATCCCTCTTCATTCTGTCCATATATATTGTTGGCAGATGGCATGAGGCCCTTCGACTAAATCTGCCGAAACCCGTGGCGAAGGCTATGGAGCAAGAACGGCGTGAAGCGAAGAGTCGTACGAGTGCCTTGCCAGGCCAGAGGCGTCTCAGGCGAAGGGTGCAAGGCGAAGACTACCTGCCGAAGGAAGACGACTTCGCCATGGCAAGTTCGCCCCCGCGAGGGCCGAGGAAGCCTTTCCGGCCCATCAAGCCTAAGGGCTATAGGGCCGGCGATCGCCAGACGGCCCATCAGGGGCCCATGAGCCCCTATAACATTATGTACCCCTGTAAATGTCCCTTTCGTAAGGGCAATCATGTAAATTCCCCTGTACAACCTAAACCCTAGTAGTAAGAACCTATAATGGGGCTATAAATAGTCCCCTAGGACCATGTAATGGGGGGATCTCCAAGTGAAATTCAAAATTTAATACACTTCGTTTTTCCAACCACTATTGAGTAACCACGTCTTTCGACGTATGCAGTTGTCGTTTCGACAACAGCTGGTGCCAACCGTGGGGACCTCTGAGCGGAACCACTGAGAGCGAATGCCACCGAAGAGGGTCATGAAGGAGAAGGTTGCCAGGCGGAAGGAGAGCGACGCCGGACCGGACATGGCCACCGAGGAAGGAGCAGAGCCTTCGGCGCCCGTGGCCAAAGATGGAGGAGCACAAGCGCCATCACAACCGCCTTCGGCCCTTGCAACCTCTGTGCAAGTGCCGAACGCGGCCGACGTGGCGAAGACGGCTGCGGCGGCAAGGGGACTCCAGACCAGGGCAGAGATCCTTTCGACAAGCCAACCGGTGGTGCCCCAAGCCGCTCCATCGCAGCCGGCAGCGGCCCCAACTGCACTCGCCGTTGTACAGGCCCAAATCAGCCTTGACCCCGAAGCACAAGCCGAAGCCGACATGGAAGCCATGCCGCAGAACATGACACGGCTCCAAGACATGCTTCGCCAAATGCAAGAACAACAACAAGCATACGAGGCGGCAAGGCGGACCAAGGCCACGTTGGCTCCAATCCTTCAGTATTCGGCAGGTTATGTCCCACCTCAAGTCCATCCGCAAGTGACGACCCAGCCCTTTCCGCCACAAGCCGCACAGGCACCGGTGTACTTCGCCGGGCAGCATCAACCACCTGGCCAAGCGCCACAATCAGTGGCGGAAGGGGCTTCGGCTCTGCAGGCGCAACTCCAAGCTTTCCTTCAGCAACTCTACCAACCCCACTGTATTTCAAGTACAGCCCCATCGGCCCACCCGGAGGGGAATACAAGTCAAGGTACGCTTAATTGGTTGCCACCGATTCAGTCGGGCCTGGGAGTTTCGCCGTGGAATCAAGGACCGCAGTTCGACTTCGTCAACGCTGCTCAGGCGCCAACCGTTCGGCAGCATGCTCCGACTCTAGGCTTCGGAACAAACCAAGCACTAATTCAAGCTGCCATGACGTGGTCACAGCCAATTTTTGACCCGTCCATGGCGGCTCAGCAAGTACCACCAGTTGGAGCCGGGCAGCCGAACGCCATGGCCCAACCTCACGCACAAGCTGCGATTTCGCCCTTCGCCACACCGTACCCGTAGCAAGGTGCGGTAAACAGGGCGGGAGGCGAAAATGGGCTACCGCTGAGTGGGGGAATCAAGACTCGTCCAATCCCACCCCAGTTCAAGTTCCCACCCGTCCCGCGCTATTCGGACGAAACTGACCCGAAGGAGTTCCTCTCCATCTACGAGTCAGCGATCGAAGCGGCTCATGGTGACGAAAATACCAAGGCAAAGGTAATACATCTCGCTCTAGACGGCATCGCCCATTCTTGGTATTTCAATTTATCAGCCAATAGCATTTACTCATGGGAGCAATTGCGCGATGTTTTTGTCCTTAACTTTCGAGGCACCTACGAGGAGCCGAAGACGCAGCAACACTTACTCGGCATTCGCCAAAGGCCGGGGAGTCGATAAGGGAGTACATGCGTCGCTTCTCGCAAGCCCGGTGCCAAGTTCAAGACATAATCGAGGCGTTGGTTATAAACGCCGCTTCGGCCGGTTTGCTCGAGGGCGAACTCACGAGAAAAATCGCCAATAAGGAACCACAGACGCTTGAGCACCTACTTCGCATCATTGACGGGTTCGCAAGGGGCGAGGAGGATTCCAAGCGACGGCAGGCTATACAAGCTGAGTACAACAAAGCCTCCGTCGCCGCTGCTCAAGCTCAAGCACAAGTGCAAGTTGCTGAACCACCTCCCCTCTCTGTCTGCCAGTCTCAGCCGGCGATCCAAGGACAGCCGCCAAGGCAAAACCAAGCCCCCATAACTTGGAGAAAGTTCAGAACAGACCGTGCGGGCAAGGCTGTGATGGCTGTCGAAGAAGTGCAAGCCTTCCACAAGGAGTTCGACGCCCAGCAAGCGAGCAACCATCAGCAGCCAGCCCGCAAGAAGGTCCGAAAGGACCTCTACTGCGCCTTTCACGGACGCTCTTCGCACACCACGGAGCAATGCCGAAACATTAGGCAACGTGGCAACGCGCAAGACTCAAGGCCGCAGCAGGGAACAACTGTCGAAGCACCCCGCGAAGTAGTTCAGGAACAAACACCCCCAGCCGAACAATGCCAGGATGCACAACGAAGGGTAATCCAAGTGATTACAAGAGCTAACCCGCCAAGCCAGTTGTCGAAACGGCAGAAGAAGATGCAGACCCGTATGGTCCACAGCATCACTTCGGCGGGTGAAGGGGCGCCGCAATATCTGAACCAGCTAATTTCTTTTGGGCCAGAAGACACAGAAGGAGTTATGTTCCCACATCAAGATCCCTTGGTAATCTCAGCTGAAATAGCTGGTTTCGAAGTCCGACGAATCCTGGTGGACGGAGGGAGTTCGGCCGATGTTATCTTCGCCGAAGCATATGCCAAGATGGGGTTGCCTACCCAAGCCCTTACCCCAGCACCAGCATCACTCCGCGGTTTCGGCAGGGAACCAGTTCAAGTTCTCGGCCAAGCACTCTTGCTGATAGCCTTTGGCTCGGGGGAGAACAGACGCGAAGAGCAAATACTGTTCGACGTCGTCGACATCCCGTACAACTACAACGCCATCTTCGGCTGCGCAACCCTCAACAAGTTCGAAGCCATTTCCCACCATAATTATCTCAAGCTCAAGATGCCCGGCCCGATAGGGGTGATTGTAGTCAAGGGGCTTCAGCCTTCGGCAGCTTCAAAAGGCGATCTAGCCATAATTAACAGAGCAGTGCACAGTGTTGAGACCGAACTGCATGAACGGCCGAAGCACACGCCAAAGCCCACCCCTCACGGCAAGATAACAAAAATGCAGATTGATGATGCCGACCCCACAAAGCTCGTATCACTTGGGGGCGACATGGGCGAAGAAGAAGTTGAGAGTATCCTAGAGGTGCTCAAAAAGAACATCGATATCTTCGCCTGGAGCCCTGACGAGGTGGGGGGTGTCCCGGCGGATCTCATCATGCATCACCTCGCAGTCAAGCCGGACATTAAGCCAAGAAAACAAAAGTTGCGCAAGATGTCTGCCGATCGCCAAGAAGCGGCGAAGGCCGAAGTACAAAAATTACTCCGGGCGGGGGTTATCCAAGAGATTGACCATCCGGAGTGGTTGGCGAATCTAGTGCTGGTGCGGAAGTCAAACGGCAAATGGCGCATGTGTGTCAATTTCACAGACCTGAACAAAGCGTGTCCGAAAGACGATTTCCCCTTGCCGCGAATCGACCAGCTCGTGGATTCAACAGCTGGATGCGAGCTCATGAGTTTCCTGGATGCATATTCCGGTTACCACCAGATCCACATGAACCCGCTCGACATCCCAAAACATCCTTCATCACTCCATTCGGCACATTTTGTCACCTCAGGATGCCTTTCGGCTTAAGGAACGCAGGAGCAACTTTCGCCAGGCTGGTGTACAAGGTCCTTGGTAAGCAGTTGGGGCGGAATGTGGAAGCTTACGTCGACGACATCGTCGGAAAAAGCCGCAAGGCTTTCGACCATGCGATCGACCTGCAGGAGACGTTCGACAGCTTGCGCGCGGTAGGCATAAAGCTGAATCCGGAGAAGTGCGTTTTCGGTGTCCGCGCAGGCAAGTTGTTGGGTTTCCTTGTTTCTGAAAGGGGCATCGAGGCGAATCCCGAGAAAATCGATGCCATCCAGCAAATGAAGCCTCCGTCAAGCGTACATGAAGTACAAAAGCTTGCAGGCCGAATTGCGGCACTCAATCGATTCCTCTCAAAGGCGGCCGAAAGAGGTTTGCCCTTCTTCAAGACCCTCCGGGGAGCGGGAAAGTTTAAT